TTAAACATATGATTTAATTCTTTATACCGATGCTTCTAAAACTACCACTGGTATCGGCTGTGCAGTAACCACTAATGATGATATAGTCAAATATAGTACTGAAGTCACCCCAACTCTTTTTTAAAAAGTCAATAGAGCACACTTATCAAAAATTATTGCAAAAGAGCAAAACAACTCTTCATGAAATCCAACCTTTTATTGGTCATCTCTCCCTTAACTTCCCAACTAGAAGAAAAACATCGATTATTAGAAGACTTCGAATCAACTACACTAAACTTATCCATGGTTTCTTAATGCTCTCTGGAACTCGTCCAACTTGTCACCACTGCAATATTTACCTAACTGTAAAACACATCCTCACAACTGCAAACGATCCACCAACCTGTATAAAGCACTGGACTTAAAACCGACTTTACTGAATGCTCAACAATCCTACATAGATCACAAAAACTATACAGTTTCTAAAAACCGCTCAACTCTACCGGAAGATTTAGTCAACTAATAGATATTAGTTGAACTTATATAATTAATATTTGTTTTGCAAAAGCCATAAGTTTCCAAAAATCGCTAAATTCTATTAAAAGATTTAACTTTATAGACATTAGTTAAAGTGGTATAAATATTATTTGTTTTCGTTATTTCTTATATCTTTATTGTTGTTCCTGTATCCATAACTATATTTGTCGAGATACTTTATGTAAATATAAAAAAATTGTTTAAAACTTATAAGGATACATCACTGTTTTACTTCTTTCGTATGTAACTAATAGAAAATTAGCCATGCATCCAACGCAATTGGTACAACAGACCTACAAAATGTGAAGAAAATTATATATTTTATTGGCTATATAAATTCACCACAATGATTGAATGCAATTAAAAAATGTACACGTTTATGTGTATGTGTGTGGTCTGCTCTCCATGACATTTTAAAATAATATATCGATTAGTTTATACTAAATTATTCAAGTAAACAATTCTGGACGTGTAATAGATTTAGGCCACTAAATGTCAAAATAGTTATTACTATTATTGACGTCTTTGCGAAAATGTGTCTGCACAATTAATTTATTGTTAGAAAATACAGATTGTGCAGATATGATATTTACTGCTCCATAAACATTTACTTATTTAGTACTGAATGTCTTTAATTTCACAGATATTTCAGAAATAAATTTAATATTAAGAACGTTCTTAGGAAAATTAACATGTAAGTTCATTTATAAAAGGATAAAGTCTAAAACAAATAAAAATAATTTAAAAAAATACAAGTCGATATAAAGTATTGTTTGCAAGATGTGAGCATACATAAAATGATAGATGCGTTTTAAATGTAAGGGGTTCAGCTTTCGTATCCAGTTTTCGTATTTTTTCGCAAATAAACTCAGATATACAGGTGTTAAATAAATCAAAAGTGGCGCGATTTTTGCCATTTTGTATAATTATCATAAGATCAATACAATATATCCCTTTCATTGACTGACCACTATGAAGTTTCTATTACTATAGCCTAACTTTTAAAACCTATAGCATGAACTTTTAGTTTTGAGTTTTGGCAACAAATGTGAGGCATTTGAAATATGCTTAAAAACGCTGAATTTAAACTTTCACACACAACTTTTTTGTCAATTATACTAGTACGTTTGTTAAAAGATCAAAACTTCTTCAATAAATTACACCCAAAACCGTCTTCTTAAATGCATTTTCCGTGACGTGTGATCGTTTGTAATGTAAAACATTAAATTCCGCGAAGAAATAAAAATTTCTTTTTAATCATATTTCAAATGCCTTTTTTGGAAAAGTGTTCAAGACTGATTTAAATATTTTACTTTTATTATTCAGAATATGACCTTATTTAGCTTTAAATATTTTATTTAATTATAATATATTAATTAATTAAAATATGGCTTTAGCTGCACATCTTCTCGAACTTTAACCCTCTATTGCATAATGGACCCAAACGGGAACTCAATATATAAAATTTCCATGAGTATTTGCTATCGACAATTTTAAGCGCGTACACATCTTATTCCCTTTTGGGAACGTTCATTCTTAGATGTGTATTGTGTGTTGCCGATATACCCACCGGTTATTTCAATAAATAGCAGTTTTGTTTGAAGTGACCTTCGAGTAAGTTGTTTGTTTAGCACGTGTATTTTATTTTCAAATATCAGCTAAAAATAAGGTAAGTTTGATAAATAAAAATTATATACGCGTTTATAAGTGTTGTAAGGATCTACTGATATATTGAAATAATAAATTTACTTTGTTGTTGTTAGAATTTGCCCCAAATTATTACTGTTCCCGTACGGGAACATTGTGTGCTAAAAGTAAATTTTGAAACTGAAAAAATTTAATATTTTATAGCTTGTTTTTATCAAGTTGGTACTTATTTAATGCATTATTGGTTTAAATAAATTAATTTGAATAAACCTGAAGTAAACTTTTTTTTTCAGAAAAAAAATGGATGAATTTGAAAGTATTCCACCAACATCGTTTTACAACAATAAAGCAAAAACTATTCAGCCCTATAAGTTACGACAGATTCCATCTGAAAGTGAAGATTCGGAACTATCTGATGAAGATAATGTTGAGCCGTTAGCTGCACAAACCACCCGGCCCAGAGTAATCATTGACAGTCAAGAAGACTCTGATAATGAAGATGATAATTTATCAACCGATGATTCGGATACTGAACTACCTACTAAACAAAAATCTAGCAAAAAAAGTCAAATGACATGGCATCCTTCAAAAACTGTGCGAAATATAGATGAACTGCATTTTGAAGGTAGTGAATTACTTCCAATCAACATATTGCAGCTCAACTCTCCTTACAAATTGTTTAGTTTTTTTTTGACACCAGATTTTATAATTGAGGTAGTTCGACAAACTTGTATATACAGCGCTCAAACAAATCCACAAAAGCCAATTACCACATGTCCTGTAGAAATTGAAAATTTTATGGGGATATTGCTGTGGATGTCTCTAATAAGACAACCTACTACAAGACGCTATTGGGCTCCGACAACAAGAATTTCACAAGTTGCAGATGTAATGCCTATCAATCGTTTTGAAACAATCAAAAGGTTTCTTCATTTTAGTAATAATTTAGAAAATACGCGCAGTCTTGACAAAATAGCGCCTCTGATTGAACAAATAAAAAGATCGTGTTTGCAAATACCTTTAGAAGAACACTTATCTTGTGACGAACAAGTTATATCGTTCAAAGGACGTTCGAGCATGAAGACATACAATCCCAAAAAGCCTCATAAATGGGGATACAAGATGTGGGTTCTCTCAGGAATCTCAGGATTTTCATATAATTTTGAAATTTTGGCTGGAAAAGATGGTTACACAGAATTACCGAATGAAGTAAATTTGGGAGCTGCTAGTAATGTTGTAGTTCGGTTGAGCAGAGAAGTACCATCCAATAAACATCACAAACTCTTCTATGATAATTATTTTTCAAGCATACCACTGGTGTCATATTTGTCAAAACGAGGCATACATTCTATCGCAACAATCCGTACAAATCGAATTCTCAATTATAAAGGTTGGCAAAAGAAGGAAATTAAAAAATTACAAAGGGGTAGCATTCAGGAACACTCTGGCACGTATGAGAATACTGCAATACATACAGTCCAGTGGTGTGACAACAAAATTGTGTTTTACTGTCAGTTATTGTGGAACTCAACCAACAGCCAAAGTGGAAAGATTCTTTCGCACCGAAAGAACTAGGAAAGAAATTGATTGCCCAGACATTGTACAACAATACAACAGGCACATGGGCGGTGTGGATCTGCAAGATTCCTTATTGGGATTATATCCAATCAAAATCAAAAGTAAAAAATGGTACCACCGTATTTTCTATCATATGCTGGATGTAGCAGTAGTCAATGCTTGGCTATTAGACAGGCGAATTAAAAAACAAATTGGAAAAACTGAAGAGATTATACCACTGCTGAATTTCAAAACAATTCTAGCTGAACAACTAACTAACAGTGGTCTTTTACAAAAAAGAAAAGTAGGTCGTCCTAGAAGTTCTACACCCGAACAACCATCCAAAAGAAGATGCATTGAACCTAGACCCAATATATATGTACAAACAGATCAGTTTTCACACTGGCCAAACTGGACTGTAAACAGGGAAAGATGTAAGTTGATAAACTGTAAAGGAAAATCAAGGGTCCAGTGCGAGAAATGTAAGGTGCATTTATGCTTTCATTCTAAAAGTAATTGTTTTAAGAAGTTTCACAATTTGGAATAGTGTGTTACTGACAATACATCTATCTAATGTGTATGACAATTGGTTCTAATAAAAGTTTTTATACATAATGTTCCCAAATGGGCACACATTTTTTTTTTCAAAAACTGGATCATTTTCAAAAAAACTATATATATATATATATATATATATTATATATATATATATATATATATATATATCGGTGAATTCTACATACATCTATTAAGAGTAATTTAATATAATTTTATTTTATTTCGTCAAAAAATAAAATAAAATAAATTCATGCAATAGAGGGTTAAGGCGGAAAACGCATTAGAAAGTTCATGCATCATTCTCCACTTATGGTGTAGCCTCCCATACATGGTCGTTCTTTATTTCTGCTTACAATTGTCTAATTGTTTTCTTATGTCATAGTCTATTCTTTAGTATTTGGAAGTCTTCTTTGTCTCTTTACACCTCTTGGATACCACAGTGTAATTCTAGCGGACCATCTATAATTTTTCTACATTTCTTTCTTCTCACTAAATGTGCCTGCTCACTGCCGTTTTAAATATTATTTAATTCTGTGGATTACATGAGTAACCTTAGTTTTCTGTCTGATCCATTATTTACTGTGAGATTTGCTATTATATATTTTTTTAGTGTTCATGTTTCGTAGTCGTATGTCATGATTGGTAGTATACACTGATGAAATGCTTTTTTCGTCAGGTGGAGTGTCATTCTACACCTGAAGTTAGATGGCAAAACATGCCCAAAGCAGTTTCATTCTTCTGTTAATTTCTGGAAGTAAGGAGCCTTCTAAAAAGGGGAGTTCGTCAGGGCTGTGTACTTTCTCCACTGTTATTTAATATATATTCCGAAAAGATCTTTCAAAATGCCCTCGAAAATATTGAAGAAGGAATAAAAATCAACGGAGAATACGTAAACAACTTAAGATACGCAGACGACACCGTCATTATTGCGGACAGTGCTGAGGGTTTACAACGACTTTTGAATGTCATAATCAGAGAGGGAGATAGCTTGGGACTAAATATAAACACAAATAAAACAAAAGTAATGGCTGTTACACGTGCACCAAATGTCGACATTAATATTCGTATCTATAACAAACAAATAGAACCAGTACAAAGATTCCAGTGTCTTGGTGGCTGGATAACAAACGATCTTGACCACGAGGTCGAAATACGTGCTCGTATAGAATATGCTAGATCCGCATTTCAACGAATGAAAAAATTCCTAATAAACTCTACGTTATCGTTGGACATCCGATACCAATTTGTAAAAACGTTTATTTATTCCATATTGCTATACGGAGTGAAAACATGGACTCTCGGAATAGAAGTATGAGGGTATAGAAGCCTTTGAGATGTAGGTTTTTCGAAGGATGCTGAAGATCTCTTGGACAGAACACGTGACCAACAACGAGGTGCTAAGAAGAATGGGTACTGAGAGAGAACTCCTAAATATTGTAAAAAACAGAAAAACGAGTTATCTAGGACATATTTACAGAGGAGAAAAATACAACTTATTACGACTTATAATGGAAAGGAAAGTGGAAGGAAGAAGAGGTCCAGGAAGAAGAAAATGCTTCCTGGTTGAAGAACGTAAGAGACTGGACAGGTATGGACACACATTCGATACTAAGAACAGCTTAAGATAAAGAGCAATTTGCTGTAGTTATAGCCAACCTTCAGTAATGGAGAAGGCACCTTAAGAAGAAGAAGAAGGAGCTAGATTTAGGTATTAATTGTCTCAGGTATACACACTCGTCTACTGTCTCAATGTACTTCTTTCTTAGGGTGCCTGTTCGTTCCGAACGTTGGCGATCATTTGGCTATGATGATTTTACCCAATTTTTACCCTGCAAAAATGCATTGGAGTAGCTCGTATCTGCCTTTATTTCTCATAATATGTCCCAAGTACTCCAGCTTACGGCTCTTCACAATGTTGACCAAATCCGCGGTTGTGTTCATCCTCCGCAGTGTCTCAAGTACAGTGTTGTTTATTATTACATCTTGAACATTCACTCGCTCGTTGTACATGGTCTTTGTTTTTGTCAAGTTGATTTTTAAGCCAACTTCATTGTTAGCTGCATTTACCTCGCCGCTTATAAGTTCTTGTTGTTCTGCAGGATTATTAGCAATTAAAACGATGACGTCTGCAAATCTTAGATGGCTGAGATATTCTCTATCAATGAATAGGCCTTTTGTTATGCGAGTTCATTTTGCTGAATATATTTTCTAAAATTGCGGTGAATCAAAAGCCTTTTGGAAACCTATAAAGGTTAATGCTAGCGGTATTTCATATTTTTAGCTCTACTCATTAGTTCTCCAAGCTTATGGATATAATATAGGGTACTGAATCCAATATTACTTTGCCTTCGTGTCGAAGTCCTGGTTGCTCACGAAAAATGTTTGGTACAGCTCGCCGCATATTGCGTGGTAGGTGGGCTAAGCAGATTCTTCCTGACTTTGATTATTATACATGTGGAATGTCACAGTTTTCAATAATTGTGTTGAAACTGAAAATATCCTCAGTTGAATTTTCAAAGTCGTCGACTTCGTTGAACACTTTAACACCAAAGGTGGTTATTTATAGTCTAAATGAATTAAATTATATAAATGCTAATTATGGCATCTAATAACGCAGTAGTATGTCAACAACTACTAATTATTTGAGATTTTTAGGAACAAAGGTATTTAGAAAATTGTATATAATACAATATTGTTGATACTTTTTACCCACCTTTGGTCCTCCTAGGGTTAGACTTTTTGAAAAATGAATATTTCACAAGATATTCTAATTTTAACTTTGAAAAGAATACAAATAAAACAATAAATAAAAATGCTCAGTAATTAATTTTTTATTCTGATATATTATTATACTTTATTTATTGAACAAATGCAATCGAATTCAAAATATTGGCAACGATAATGTAAATTATTTAGCATACCATCAAGAACATCATCAAACCGGTCAAGTTTATTTATATGTGTGTATTATCTTTATCGCAATTACATGAACCGAGTTACATAATCGAAATTTATGTTCTGCTGGTTTAAGGAATATAATGTGATGCATTAAAATGCATCAAATTTATGTAATTTGTTAACCAATAATAGAGAAGTTAAGAAAAGGGTAATAAATTTTGAAATAATGTATATTTTATACATATTTATGTAAACATAGGTTCCATCTATAACAATTATAATTTAAGTGGGTTGTGTCTAAGTTACTTGCACAGGATAACATGACAATTTTGGAAAATAGTTTAGAAAGACAATTCAATATTAAGATTGTATATAAAAGAAGGAAGCTGAACGAAGAAGGCAAAAGGAAATCTATAGAATATGTAGAAATTAATAAAACAATAAGCAGAATGATGAAAGAAAATAAGAGAAAAGAACAAGAAATAAAAATAAAAGAAGTAATAGAAACAACAAAAATATGAAATGCTTAAGGCCGAAATTAGGTAAGTTTGAAATAAACAAAATAAAAGATGTAAATGGAATAGAAACAAACGTTAAAGATGACATCATAAATATAATCCACCATTTCTACTCAGAATTATATAAAACAAAAAAGGAACCACCAGAAGAAATTAAAAACCAACTTAAGGTCAAAATTAAAAAATGTCAACTTAGAGCTGCAGCCGAAATAAGCAAATCAGAAATAAAGAAGGCATTGAAAGAAATGAAAAACAACAAATTGCCTGGAAAAGATGGAATAACTGCAGAGATGCTGAAATATGGTGGAAAAGTGGTAATTAATACTCTACATTCCATTTTTAACAAGATATTAAAAGAAAAAAGGAATCACAAACAACTGGAAGGAATCAGTAACCATTATCCTACACAAGAAAGGGGATAAAGTAGATATAAAAAACTACCGTCCTATAACACTCCTTAATGTAATGTATAAACTCCTAACAAAAATTTTAACCAATAGATTGACGACAAAATTCGATGGATACCAGTCGAAAGAACAAGCTGGTTTTAGAAAGGGATTCAGCACAAGTGACCATTAACTAAGTATGAAAATACTTATAGAACGAGCAAATGAATACCACATTCCTCTATATATGGCGTTCATAGATTTCGAAAAGGCTTTCGACAGTGTCGAACATTAGGCAGTGAAAAGTTCTTTGATTCACAGCCGAATTGACCACAGATATACGGAACTAATAACCAATATATATAAGGAAGCCAAAACAACAATTAAAGTATATGAAGGAACAAAATCATTACAAATAAGTAGAGACGTGAGACAGGGTGATACCATATCACCGAAACTTTTCAATCAGGCTCTTGAAGATACTTTTAAAAGATTAGAATGGGAAAACAAAGGTATAAAAATTTGTGGACAACGCTTGAACCATCTAAGGTACGCTGATGACATCGTATTGATAACCGATAAAAAAGAAGAATTATTTAAAATGATGAAAGAACTGTACGTAGAAGCTGGAAAGATAGGCCTTAATATGAATTACAGCAAGACCAAAACTATAACAAATACAGATGAAGACATCACAATGAGAATCGGACAAGATGAACTAGAACAAGTTAAGGATTATATATATATATATATATATATATATATATATATATATATATATATATATATATATTTATATATATATATATATATTTATATATATATATTATATATATATATATATATATATAAGAGTAAGAAAAAAGAAGTACTTGTGACTCGTTTGGAAAAAATAAACACTGTTTTTGATGGGTTGGAGTCAATAAAAGGGGCTATTTGTTGACTATTTTTTACTCGAGCTTTCAATTGTGATTACAATTTTTATCAAGAGCTTCTAAAAAATACAAAATGTCTTACAAAGTTGAACTAGAAATAAAAAAGTTTTGTTAACTCACCAAATAAAATTAGTTTTTTATATAAAACTACTGCTTACATAAAAAATACAAAAAATATTAATACAAAATGTCTTATTCTAATAAATGTTTCTCTGAAAAATTTAGATGAAGTTTCTTAAGAAAATTTTATAAATTCAATTTTTTTGGATGTATGGATAAGAAGAGATTTCAATTAATGGATAAGAAGAGAAACGAGTGGATAAGATAGGAAAACAAAAGTGAGGGATGTTAGACAAGAAGTTGCAGAATTAAAATGGAGATTTGCCGGACACAATATAAGAAAAAAAGAAGACTGATGGAACAAAATTCTTATAAGTTGGAGACCGTGGGAATATAAACGAAGCAGAGGAAGGCCCCAAATGAGATGGGCAGATAATATCAAGAAGCACGTGGGCTCTAGATGGATGACTGTAGCGACAGACAGAGAAGAATGGAAAAGGATTGGGGAGGGCCTATGTCCAAAGATGGAACGAAGAAGGCTAATTAGATAGAGATATAAAATTCCTTTATAAAAGGTATGGTCAACTCGGCTCCTCAGTACATGTGCTTAGCCACTAAAAGATGCACTGTGAAGCTAGATATTTGGTTTATCTCCCAATGTATAAATAATCAGCTCTTCCCTACTTTTTGTAAGATTAAAACTCCAGGAAATGCTCTCAGCCACCTTAAAGAACGAAAATAATCGACATAAGATGTCTCAACTCAGCCAATGTAGGTAGCGACCATAGCCTAGTATTATTTAAAATAAGAATCATCCTAAAATACTTCCCACCCAAGAAAGCGGTGACAACACAAACAAAAACCAAAGTCGAAGGACTAAATACGAAATCCACGGAATACTTATACAGGAAAAGAATATCAGAGAAGATCGCTGGAATAAAATATTAGAAAACCTAACATCGAGGAAAGCTGAGAAAAATTCAAAAATAACATAATTAAGCAGCAACAGAATCACTTGGAGAGAGGAAAGTAACGAACACTAACATATCAAAAAAGAGAACACCATGGTTTAGAGAGGAAGGGAAGACAAAATGTGAAGAAAAGAAGAAAGTCTTTTTACAATATAGAACATAAAAAACACAACAGACATACAACCAGTATACATGAATCAGAAATTAAACAAATACTTTAGTTAGACAAATAAAAAAGAAACACTGACAGATTTTCTCAAAACAGATGGAACTTGACTTCTTCGGAACACAAAAAGAAATATGGAGAATGATCAGAGGACAAAGAAAAGAGATAAACTAACTTATAAAAACGAAACACATTCAGAAGGAAACATAAGTAGACTACTTTCGATCTCTATCTGCTAAAGGTGACGATAATAAACCACCAAGACCAGAGATGAAGACAAGCGAAGAAATAAATATTGAGGAGGAAGAGGTAAAGGGTGCCTTAAGGAAATTAAAAAATAGAAAATCACCAGGTGAGGACAGAATACCGAACGAATTCCTAAAGTCCGGAGGACCAGATCTGACGAAACAACTATTAAAACCAATCCAAAAAATAATAGAACAAAACAGAATTCCTCAAGAGTAGAGATCAAGCATCCTAATACCAAAAAGAAAAACAAATCGGATCCGTAAAATTACACAGGAATTAATTTATTAAACACAACACTAAAACTAACAACCAAAGTGATAACAAATAATCTGAATGAAATAATAACACCAGCAGGAAAACAACAAGGAGTCAGGTCGGAAAGATCATGCACCAACGCTATATTTATAATGAGGCAAGTGCAAGAAAAATCATTAGAACACAACAAACCGGCATACTATTGTTTCGTGGACCTTACGAAGGCATTTGACCGGGTCAATTAAAAGACGTTATCCACTTACTGTGCGCAAAAGAGATACCTTCTAGGAATAATCAAAACGATGGAAAGTATCTGCCAAAACAACAAAATAAAATTAAAAGTAGAACAAGAACTAACTGACCCTATTATGGATGAAATAATAAAAAATGTAAGAACTAAAAAAGGATACCAAATGGGAGAAAAACAACTTAAAATAATCTGCTATGCAGACGACGCAATACTACTCTTTCAAAGTAAAGATAATTTACAACGTATGCTGCACCAATTTAATATGACCGCCAGAAGATTTAACATGTTAATTTCCCCAAGAAAGACAATATGCATGGTTACAACAGCAAATTTATTAAAATGTAAATTGGAGCTGGAAGGTCAGATAATAGAACAAGTGCTGGAGTTTAAATATCTAGGCATCACATTATCTAGCTACGAAAAGCTCGAAACTGAAGTGGAAGATCAAGTGAATAGAGCAAAAAGGTTAAAAAATGAAACAATATGGAGAAATGAAAATATCAGGAAAGAAACTAAAGGCAGAATTTATAAAATAGTCATCAGACCAAAAATGACATACGCGGTAGAAACAAGACCTGGCACAGAGAGAAAAAA